ACCTGTGTAATAGACATAATTGCCTATTATCATTTGCACGTTTAAATAAATAAATATGGTGGAACACAATATGCTAACCTTGGCTGTTTTCTATAATTCAATATTAAGACGTAAATTAGACAGAATTGCCTATTTAAGTATGCGTCTCATCGGATGGCCTCAAATAGGCACGCTTATAAATCTTTTAACTTTCCCCCTATACCCATTGGGCAATGCGTGCTCCAAAAAAAAAATTAAAGCCATTCATTGTGTTTAACACAATCGCTGTCCGGCCACTGCAAAGCAGCAGGGATAATCCGGGATAACCCGGGGACTTCACAAACGTGTCAGCTCAATCTAACAGTGCCAATTCAATCCTAAGGTTCAATAAGTAATGGTGCAGCCCTGCAAACGCGCCACAGTGGCAAGATGTTAACTACCTCGCCTGGTATACAGCAGTCCGTGGGTTTCGACCCTGACCCCTGTATATTTGTAGTTTGTCGATCTCTCCCCGTGGTCGTGTGGATTTTTCTCCGGGGCCTCCGGCTTTTCCCTCCACAATTAGAAACATGCGTTTAGAGCATTTGGCTGCTATGCATTTCCACGCGATAAACAACTTCATTGAGCTATCATTTGGGGCTAGGTCGCTTCTGAATTAAAAAAGGAGCTTTAGTAGCTCAGTGGGCCTTACCTGGTAAATTAATAAATACATGTAAATAGATCATAGGTAGCACCTCTAAATCTTGACTTAAAGCTTTCGTGACTGCAGGAATTCATATTCCTTACCGGAAGTCACGTAGCTAGGTTCAAGTCAAATTTTCTTTGAACCTATCTACGTGACTTTACCTAAAGACCCAAAGAATAGGCAACACCTCTGTTTGTGGATGGGCCTCCACTCGACCGAGTTCTCAAGAGACACCTGGAAAGAGGATGTTGACTTCCTCGTCCACGCTCGCCAGACATTCTTGGAAGGAGGCGATAGCACCGACATTTAAACCCCACCGCACCACGATTGACTGCGCGCAGTGGTGGGGGGGGGGTTAAGAAAGTTTCCAATATCCTTTAAACTGCCGTGCCCGGGGATTGAACCGGCGACCTCTGGATCACGTGGTTCAGTGTCGTGAGCGTTATACCGTGACAGCATCCCTGCCTAAAGGTTCATTGGTAGCATACCCTTCGCATACGTTATACGAGTCCGATTAGAAATTAATTGGGGTTTTTTGTTTCTTTTGAGGCATGTTCGTGCCACGTCGACAAAGAATGTAAACGAAAAACTAAAAACACTTTTTTCTATTTATTCCTAACGTATTTTATTCACAACACGATGCAGGCCACACAGCACAGAGGATATGAAAGGGGATTGACACCAGCACTAACACATTACAGTGCAATAGAAAGCTGTCTAAACAGCAAGTTTCAATCAACTCGACAACCTTGGTGTCTTCCCTAAGCTCTGATACCCCCGTGCAGGAGAAAGAAAAATAAGAGAGGGAGAGGGAAAAGGGGGGAGAGAAAAGGCGGGGGGGGGGAGGAGTACCTAAAATGCCCTGATGAATGCTCTTAAGAATCAATGCCCACTGGAGAAAAGATGCTGAACCAGTAAAAAGAAAACACGTTAAAAACATAAATGTAAATGGCACGGCTTCAACGCCTTCATTGTGAACGCCGCCTCATAGGTTGCGACTGCTGCAGGCAAGTGGCACTCCCTCTGACCCACACATCTGCCTGCTGCCACGTCAGCCGTCGGCAGTCGTTTGGGAGTCGATCGTTAACGGAGTGACGTGCCACTGAAATCGTAACACGAAAGAAGAGCAAACGCGATCGGAGTCGTATTCTTGGTTCTTTCGGTAAAGTCACGTATAAGGGAAACAAAATAATTTAAACAATAAAAACAATAAAATGCTCCCTTCTACGCGACTTTACCGAAAGAACCAAGAATATGAATCCCTGCAATCACGAAAGCTTTAAATCAAAATTTGCGATTCGCAGTCGTTGGGTATAGTCAAGTCCCGCCTTGAAAGGTCACCCCCTTTAAAACGGTGCCTTCACCACTCACCGCCTGCCTAGTCCTGGCCATGCATCTTCTGTTTGTCACGGATTAAATGCGCCAACTTTTCAAAATGTAACATTATTATTAATAACCCTGTATGACTATCCCAATTATCAGTGTGTAATCAGATTATTGTTACTTAGCGCTGTTTATGATGACCTTACTTGCAGTTGTTTTATTCGACGATTACAAAAAAATCAATCAGCAGGTAAAAACTACAGGGCATTATCTTGGCTTCATGAAGGGACCACAACAGCTGCTGTGCGTTAGATAATTATTGTACACTGCCTACTTTCGTAATGTAGTGCTATGCTGTTATTTTTGTGCAATTTTTTATATATAAAAGTAGTCAAATAAATCGCAGTGACTCAATCACATTACTTTGAAGGTGCAAAACACTGGCTTACAATGCATTATACCACCACAACCTTCGAGCCGTCAATAATCGCACACAATGTACGGTTTAAAAGTTACCCTCTCAAAAAGAGCGGCGACGCAGAGCACGAGCGAAGCAAGCAAAAGTTGAGGGTACCAAGTGGCTCAAGGGGCCCCGGATTCATGAAACAAAAATTGCGGGCGAACCAATCATCAGCGCGAATTTAGATCTTAATGAGCAAGTCCAATCACATTATAAAACATAATTAACCTTTCTTAAGTCTACGTCACTCTCTCTCTCTCATGCCACGACATTTATATTTCATCTTCGCTTGTAGTATTTCACCTCCAACTGCTGCCTGCATTTCCCTTCCATCTCGCTGCATCTCCCGTCTCTTGCCTAAATGTAAAATCCCTGGTGTCATCTCGCAAGGAGTTTAAACCTCGAGCCAAAGCCACCACCGCCCCCGCCCGCCGCTCCCGATACCGGTTGCAGCGTCCTTTGATCCGCCGCTTGTTTGAATTTCTGGACAAACTCGCGGTGGCCAGCCGTGACCCTCACGCAGCGTAGCAGAGGGCGCGTGGGCGCTTGTCGGTGGCGGCGGAGAACCCAGGGTTCCTTGTTGCCTCCGCTGCTGATCGATTCATTTGTGGAGGCGAGGGGAGTGGCGGGGGGGAGGGTGGGAGTAATACCGCAAAGTCATTGCGGATTGACAGGGCGGCGATTAAACTTTCCGTTAAATATCATGAAAGGTCATTCTCAGCGAAGGAGATGCAGGGGCCAAGGAACACCGTCCAAATCGCCGCCACAGCCGCAGAGCGTCTCCGCTCGCCGTCCTTCAAACGGGGGGCGTTGACTGCGCTGAATGATTTACGCGCGGCGACAACGTCATGGCAATAATTACCAGAGGTGCTTGCATTTATACTGAGCCCACGATGTTAACGAAAAGTCTTGGAGCGCAGCTTTCCTCCTCTAAAATACCGTCCGGTGGCAAACACTGGTCACACACTACAAAGATGGAAAATGGACAAATATATATATATTTTTTAGCGGTGGCCAGGTGGCTCAGAGGGTAGAGCGCTGAGCTGGCACAGCTGAGGCCGTGGGTTCAAATCCAGACGGCAGCCTGCGATTAAACCACGTTCTCATGTGTAGCGAATTGATGGTTTCAGCCCGGTCACCAATGACCACACACACAAAACCCCAGCGCATTTAACTGTTTTGCACTTAATTTGGTGAAAAACATCAGTTATGGAGAATTGAATTGTTGGTTTCACTGCCATACCACAAATAAGTCTCTAGGTTTGGAGAAAGGACACCCCTAGTGTGTGTGTGTAGAAGAGGGCGCCTGAATAGATCTCGGCAGCAGTTCTATGACATTTAATTCTTGGGGCCCATTCTTCAAAACGTGGGGTAAAATGCTTTCATCTACCGTGTGGGCCAGAGGTCACTTGAAATGATCTCAGAAGTAACTCTGTGATATCCACTTCCTTTGGACGTTTTCTATGACGTAGAGCAAGTTACACCGTCACACAATAATCCGAACGGATCATTGATCTCATGACACGACGCCGATCACACACATCGGAACAAAACTTGGGGGATAGATGACAAAAAAAATGAAAGTCTTCATGTCACCACCTACTTTGCTAGCACTAAAAACGTATTAAACATGCATTTTCATGATTGCCAATGGAGGTACCGATTCTGTGAAGTGTCATTGCACTTGAGATGTTATAGAAGAGGACGGTCAAAAAGATGCAATCCCATTCCCTACCACTCAGGCATCCCACTTATAAAGGACGTCTGGAAAAATCTTGCCCAAGCGTTTGGAACACGCAGTCAATTTCAAGTGGTCGTATCTTATCTTACACATTATTTCCTATGAATAGAGCTAAATGTTAAAGGAAACAGCCGTGTTTTTTTTTGCTGAAAGTGGCGATCATCAGTGAAAAAGTTGTCATGTTCCCATCTCATTAGTCTTAGGAGCTGCTTTCACGTCTTTTCAAGCCCTTACGCTAAATTTAATATATTTACTAACATATAATGATCACAGAGGCCCTTCTGGATCAAAGCACTACTGAGAGAGACCCATCTGGATCAAAGTACTGCTGAGAGAGACCCATCTGGATCAAAGCACTGGCGAAAGAGACCTCACGTATGCAGGTGCAGGCCTTGGACAGGTGCCCGCAAACAGCACTTGCCCCAACAATCTGTTAAAGGCTGCACGGGGGATCTTTGCCTTGTATGCACGTGTGTGTCTGTGCGCAGCAGCGGTAGTGTAGCGGTTAGCGCTACGCTGCGCTACGAACCCGGCGGCCCGAGTTTGATTCCCGCTCACGGGCGAACACCGGTGACGATTATCTGAACCGGTCCTGGGCCTCCCCTAGGTCGACTCGGCCTCAAATGAGTACCTGGCGCGGTGTGTAAAAAACATCGCCACTGGGGAGACAAAGGCGGTCGGGCGTGATGTTGGCCACCCACCACCTCGTGTACCGTGCCGGCCTTCATAGGTCCTCGCTCACAGCACTTGCCCCAACGGTCTGTTAAAGGCTATACGGGGGGATCTTTGTCTTTTTTTTGTGCGTGCAACAGCGTCGATAGTCGTGGGCAAGTGGTGGTGCGAGATGGATCCGTGTTTGGAAGGCGAGGAGTGCAAGACTCTTCCGGACAACTCTGGCTGGATGTGCATAGCTGGAAACAAAGTCAAGACGACACGGGTGAGCGGGTCTGCCCTGGCTGCAGTCAAACACACCCCACACGCGTGCACAGCCCGAATGTTTGTCTCGTCCGCCCGTTGGATCAGGGACCTCCTTGCCAAACCGTGCGGGTTATGGAGGTGATCGTCATAGCATTTTCACTATGCCGGTCAGTGCCGGTTGATACTCTCTGGTTCTATTCGGTTAAAGTCACGTCCAAACTGTCCCTTCAGCTGATGAAGGCCACTTGTGTTGTGGCCGAAACGTCGTGATTTTTGTTGTTTTATTTTTTTACCTACGTGACTTTACCGAATAGAACCAAAGAGTATGGATTCTTGCAGTGACGAAAGCTTCAAATCTAGAACAGTGCCGGTTGGTTGGTTGATGGTAGGGGGGGAGCATATACGTTGGAGCAATAGTACAGTACAACGCCGTAGTTTTTTTCTGCACCAGCCCACTGCTACCCACAGAGTAGTCACGGCAAGTACTACGACAACCCGGGTTTTTTTCCCCACGGTGATCACCCGTCCAAGTGTTACGCAGGCGCAACGCGGCTTAGCTTCCGAGATCTGATGAAGCCAGGCACAAGACGCGTGCATGCCTTTGGTCATTGGCGTTTTACGGTGCCCAGCTCGATTGGTAGACATGAGCCAGTGGCGGCACTTCCACATTCCTGCGGCAAGGATTACTTCTATCAAGGAGGACATAACTACGATTGACAATTTGCAGGCATGAGCCAATGGTTGCAGCCTCCACACTCCTATGGCAAAGGGCCAGTCTATAAATAGGATAAGCACAATTTACTTTGAAAAATTATATATCAGTGGAGGAATCCGTGGCGGAGCCAAAGCCAGGCCAGGATTTTTTCTCCGGGTCCTCCGGTTTTTCCTTCCACGTTTCTAAACACGCGCTTAGTCTATTTAGATTATTATTAGGCGCTATATATGTCCAAATGATTGGGCCACTTTATTGAGCTCTCATTTGTGGCCAGGTCCCTTCTGAAAAAACACATTCCTGCGGTGGGAGCTGGTAGGAACGTTGGGTTGCTCGGTCAATGGCCAGGGTCAACGGCGGCACCACGTGGTGTATTCCGCAATTAAGCCCGACTGTGAGGGGGGGCACAAGCCAGCGTGAGTAGGTTAACCGTTGAGTTTTATAAGGGCACCACGGGGTGACCAGCCCCTCCCCACCCAGCCCCAACCCTCCCACCCCCCACCCAGACCCACCCAGCCCCTCCCCACCCTCCCCACCCAGCCCCTCCCCACCCTCCCCACCCATCTCCTCCCCACCCTCCCCTCCCCACCCAGCCCCTCCCTCCCCACCGAGCCCCTCCCCACCCTCCCCTCTCCATTCAGCCCCACCCCTTCCATTTTTGGATGCACGACGGACGGACGGACACAATAATCCCCTGTGGGCTGGTGTAACCAGGGGTTCCTACCAGTATTAGTGAATACCTCAGTAGGCTTTGCCTGGTAGGATGGGGATGGTTTAATGTTGTATTTGTTTGTGTTTGGGCGATTTGTTTATCTTTCTCGCACTTTGCACTACTATCACGTGTTGTCGTTCTGTTTGTTGTCATGTTCTTACCCGCCCATACTTCACATCTGCGAAAAAGAGCTTCATAGCTCATCGGATTCCTCAAGTATAAATACATCCTCTGAATTCGTGAGCTTGCAAGCCATTTTTGTGGTCTGGGGCCTTCGTTGCGAGTTTAAAAAAAGTCACTTAATGAGCCATGTGGCGCAGTGTCCCTCTCTCTTTCAAGTGATGACATAAAAAAAACACGGCTTCTGTCATTGGTTGAATCACCACGATGTCTTGTGCAACGTACGGAAATGTGTGTAGGGCGCGTTTAATTGATCGGACTTCGTTTATCTAACAAGCACTGCGAAACAAACGCTGCGCCAAAGTTGAACGGATTTGTAGAAATATCCCAGCGCAAGACACTGCGGAAAATGAGAAATCCATCATTTATGAGGGTGGCCGCTCCCGTGCAATGGATGCATGCACGGGTTATTAAGTGCGTTCGGATTTTTAGGTGAATTGTCTACAGTGGGGAGGGAATATTTTGCACACAAAGCACCGATATCAATATCATCTGGGGGGTGGGGGTGATGGTTATTGCATTCTTTCTACGTTTCACACGCATTGTGAAGATTGGTTCATTTCCCACAGACGGTTATGACACAAAAATCCCTTTGATTCGTGTTGCGGTGCAGAATATTAAATTCCAAACCGACTAAAAAAGGGGGGCACCGTTATCTTCTCGCACGTTAAAACAACAATAACAACAACAACAACACCACCACGAGGAGAGACCCAGTTGTTTTAATCTCAAAACAAAAACAAACAACACCACGTAAATTAAGTCCCAGGCAATGCACACAATGGCTGCTCAGTACTGCCTCGCCTCCAACCACTCGGCTTTAATGCGTTTTCTATTAACTTGCAGGGGTTGGTTGTTGACCACGTTGCGGGTAGACCCACGGTGTGCCGGTCCCATTTAAAATGGGAAAGAAAGCACAAGACACTCTGTGGGGACTGTTGTTAGGAAGGGTAGGAGGGTCATGAATAATTGTCCGTCACTGCTAAGTGTTGTGTGTGTAAATAGAAATTGGCATAAGCACTCAAGAATGTGTTGGCTACTAAATATAGTGTTTAGCAAACAAAACTCCCTGTCAGTTTAACACGCAGCCTTTCGCGACTAATAACATCCATAATACATGACCAATCCGTTACTAGTACAGCACACCGGTGTGTTGGAGAGCAAATCCACAACATTTGCAATCCGACTCCCTGTGTAGGGGGTAGCCTGGTGGTACAGTCAGCTGATAATGAGCATGTCATCTAGATACTTTCCTGGAAAATACCGATATGTGCGTTCAAATCTCAGTTAGAGCCACTTGTGATGAGATCGAGGAATGAGTTTCAGGTTATTGGCAAGGCCATTGTTTAATCATTATCATCACCAAAGCATGCTTGGTCATCATATCATCATCTAAATGACACCGATTTCTGTGAGCGATGAAACAGACCATGGAGCATCTATTGCTGTGTCTCAGCTCCTGTGGGAGCCATGCACTATGACATAACCTGGCCAGGGCTTCAGACTGGACCATGTCATCGTCGTCATAATGAATCATCATCAGCCCGATATTGGATAACCACGTGACTGCAGAGGCAGGACACGAGAAGACGATGATGCAATCGGTATCACCATACCACCACCATCATCATCAACGATTGTCTTGATCGTCAACTTTTGTAACTGCAGTGGTGGTGACTGCGCAACATTGCATCGTCTTACATTCCCTTTCTCACTTAATACAGCCCAGGGCCAACACGAGGCTCACGGCTCAGAAACGACCCACAAATTATACGTATCCATGACTGCAAGCATCACTGAGTTGCACTGATGCAAAGTTGCAATTGTAAAATTAGCCTCGTTGCTCGATATCAAAATTAGCCACACGAAGAACAAAATGTTGCACTAATCTGATACAAGGAGTGCCCCGTGATCGTTAATCCGAGTTGTGATGTTGATAAAATGTATAAATAATGTGGAGACACGAACATGCTAAGCAGGCATTAATGTCTGATTATTTATCCAGTTGCGTACATTCTCCACAAAGGATACTCAATCATTATCATTTAGTGCTGTGAATTATATAGTTTCGCGTCGTCAAACTACGCCCCTCGTCTAGCAGAGGGAGCACTTTCCTCGATAAAAAAAAAAATCGGGCAATTCACCAGGATCGGTCTAAGCAAGCTTGGCTCTGCTGACGAAACACGAAATGTAAAAAAAAGCCAGCCCAAAGTTTGCTTGTTACGCAACCAATGCCGGTGATAAGATGCACTTCCAAAAGGTCACTTGGCCAATGGGAATATGAAGAAAATCCATGCATTGTTTTTACGTGGAAAAAAAACTACCTGGGGAAGGAGGGGTATTGTGTGCTCATTTATTTTGTTAACTCGTGTCCTGCACAATGACGCTAGATGATTATTGTACATTGCAACTGTAATAGATGCTTATTACGTGCTATACCTATGACAGATGATTGACACGGATGAACCACTCTTTACAGAGCGTGGAGGGGGCACTGTGCAGTCTTGAGGTTCCAGACGTCGATTCAAATTAACGGCACCGCAGTGCAATTGTGGCCATGCCACCAAAAATATGGCCCATAGCAGCAAACCGCTGTAGTCTGCGCTCCTTCAACAAAGGAGGAGAAACAGCAAAAGGCCACAAACCTGTCTCCTGAAGCCCTCTCGTCGTGGCGAGCAGCAGACCTCGACATTGGCATTCGGCTCCTGAACATATTGCCATCATATGCAATGGTAGAGCCGAGAGGCTCCATTGAGGGGGCCTCGCGAGTAGTTCTGCAGTGTCATCTTCCGCTGGTCTCATGACCGACGCGACGGCCAGAGACACCGCGAACAAACGGCAGGCGTTCCGCGAGGACCGGTACCCCAATTCCGGCGATCACAACACAATCTCCGATAAGAGAACGGCTCTGATGCGATTAGTGATTTAAAAAAAAAAATGCTAAATTAATTGTATGCTTATATATGTATTTTTAAATGCGTTTTCAAAAAAAAATCTAAACGCAAAGTGCAATTTTATACCCAATTAAAATTCGGACTTACGAACAGCATTTTTTTAATATATATAATCGGCGCTCTTCACGGCACAAGTGTGGACGCCCACGTACGAGCGGAAATGAGTCGCAGAGCGCTGCCTCATTAACACCGGCGGAGTAAGAGACGCCAGGGTCCATTAGGCGAGGTGGGGGGCAATTAAACACAAACACATTTTGAAGTCTCCATTCCGTGGAGTAAAGGACCGTTGTTGTGTGGCATTTAATGACCAAGCAGGTGAAGCTTGCACCGACTTTTCAAAGGAAGCTTTTGTTGTCGGTTGTTTTACGCGTGTACAACGTCGTTTTATCTCGCGTCTGTGTGCGATTTTGCTTTTTTTGTATCTCCCTTCAGTTTTCCGGGTCCTGATCTTTGGAGAATTAACCACCCTTGTCTGCACGGTGATCAACAACAACAAGAACAGCAGCAGCAACACATTGTCGCGGATGGTAAAATCATCACGGGGGGGGGGGGGGGGAGAATTCAAGCACAATATACAGCGCGCCAATTAAATAATAACAATATAGGATGTATATAACCGCGTGGTGAAATAATGAAATTATCACTCACTCCGGCATGGGCGACGTCGGCTCTTGGCACATCGAGAGCCGACACAGCAGCAGCAGCAGCAATAAGTAGCAGAGCAGTAGCAGGAGTCGCGTTCACGGCCCGGACAGCAACACAATTCAGAAGCAGCAGCAATGTCGGAAATCAGTAACAAGTCATCAGCAACATTAGCGCGAGTGGTAGCATCGAACTTGGCAACAACGGTAGCAGCAGCAGCAACAGCAACAACATTGACATGAGCAGCAGAATCATCATCATCATTAACTACTGTACAGAAGCAGAACCATCGACAGCAGCAACGGTGATCAACTACGTAAGTCGTGACAGCAACATCAATGAGCAACAGCATCAGAAGCAACAGCGCAATCATGGAAAGGGAGCGGCAACTATGGAAGAAGCAACGATGACAGCACCAGCGTGCCACTGCGATAGCTGCAACGAAACGCACGCGGATTTAACAAACAACAACGACAACGACAAAAATATCGAAGAACCCTTTTAAGTCGATGGGAGGGAAAGATCGCGATTAATTGCGTAAAATAAAATCCGCGTGGCCGGGGAGGCCGGAGTCTCGTGCCGTCGAATCCGCGGAGATGCCGTGGCACCTGCACGCACCCTCAGACGTTCTCCGAGCGCAGTTTGGTTTTCTCGTTTCCAGTTTCTCTGCGACGACGGATTACGGAACGGGGGGTGGGGTTGTGGTGGTGGTGGTGGTGGGTGGGAGGCGCCGTGGGGGGGGGGGGGCACCGTCCCTCCGAGTCCTCCCACAACACCACCGGCTAACCCAAAACTCAACCGAGGTGCGGGCGCGTTTGGTGCGACCCGAAGACTGGGCAGGGCTGGCCTCGTGCTCTCCGAGCCGCCCGCCGCCGGGCCCGACCCGAAAACTCTGCGCGGTTTGAGCAGCAAAAACGGTCCGCGGGTTTGTCTTGGTTGCGTTACACATTCCGTTTAACTGTGCGAGTACAATTTCACCGGTTTTATATCCCGACAGAATGGAATGGGACAGGCGGCGGGATGCTTGCGAACGAACCCCCCCCCCCCCCCCCCGCCGCCCCCCCCCGCCCCATCCTTGCTGCGTATTCTCAACAACAACAACAACAACAAAAAAACAACACAAAATTTTCGAGTCTCGTTTAAATATTGTTATAATTGGGGTGACAATTTCACTCTTTATTTATTCCCATCGGTGTAAATATCTGCAAAGAGAAGGACGAGCAAACCCTTTAAGATGGAGTTATGAGACATAACCTATTTCTGTTTTATGTTTACTCTCCGTAGCCTGTATACGACACGCGTAGGGTAAAGAGTGATTTTGTGCAAATGACATCAGTCTTTGGAGGGGTTTTTTTTTAGTTGGATGGTTTATTTTTTAATATGCGTCAACTTGTTCCAAATGAGCGAAGCGAAAAGGGGTTGAATGTTTTACAAATGTGTGGATGATGTGAGTTGTATAAAAAAAACACACAAGCAAGGCTTTTAAAGCTACTGCCGTCGTTATTTTTGCCAACAGTTTTTTTTTGGTTTCACCTTTTTTCATTTTCCCCTTCATTTAAAATTGCGCAAGATGTCAAATTCGCTTTTCAAAAAAATGTATCACTTGGCGATCACCGAATCGTTTAAATTTCACGGAAGATGCGATCACAGCAAAGAACAGCAACTGAAAATAACAAAGAGTTCCAAGCACATTGTTCGATAAAAAAAATGTATATTATTTTATCGTCATTGATTTATTTCTGTTGGTTTAAATGTACTTTTCAAGACCGCCGTAACCTTGAGAGTATGGCTGTAATGTAACATATGAGAGTTTTTTCAGGCTGTGTGGTGACTCAAATTAACGTATTGTTACACACACTTCCACAGGAGTCTCATTAACCATGCCAAGCTTCTGTGTAAAGCCCTCTCTCAATGACCAAAGTATCTCGCGTGTCTCACCTCCTTCTCAGAGTTTTGCGATGTTATTTGGGAAACTTAAGACGAAAAAAAGAGTCCGTTTCATGCTTAGACAGAAGGGTAATTCGAACTAATAATTTTAAAAGAAAAAAAAGTTCAAATTGCTGATACTTTTTTTTTTACAGATTCTACAAATTTCTCACCGATTTTGGTGGATCAACGTGTTTTTGGTGAACACATTACACCGGCAGACAGGCTCCCGATGAAAGAAAATTGTGCGCTTGCAATGCATTACCTGAATGTTTATGGAGTGTGTGTGTGTCGACATTTGTGTGAATCGTTGGCAGTGCTGCATCATTTAAAACTACGCGAGCAAAATTACGTCATGGGAAAACAATACCTTTACCTATTGGCAATGAATGAGCATTAGGAGGCCTAAATCATCTTTAATTAGTAACAAGTAAAATCGGGTATTTGACCTACTCTTCCACGCTGTTTAGACATCTCGGAAGGAAGTCCGAGTACCCGCACTCTACCGCACCACAGACGATGCTGCCGATTGGCTAACTGTGGTGGCACCTATTTTCCGCACCTCCGATTAGCACGCTTGGCTACGTACGGTGCAGGATTTAAATAGCACTTGTGCCGTTATTTTTACTGCCACACCAGGAGATTTAATCAACATCGGTGACCACTGGATTGCAAGTCCAGCGAGCTGACCGTTACACCACGGTAACATCCTCACGCGTTTATCAGAATACGTTTGAAATGGACCAGCCAATGAGGCCAGACAACAAAGCGGCTGGGTTTCATGGGACAAACCACTCCGAGCTCACACGTCTCGAAATCTCACGCCCGAAAGTAATTGTGTTTATTCCCCATAATGGTTGAAATTGCTTTAATACATCCAAGCTAAACTGCACAATGACACGTCCACTTATTTGTATTAAAATAAATTACTTATTAAATGGCATAAAATTGGGGAGGGTTTTTTTTTTCACGTGGCTTTACAATAATTGGTGAACGAAATAAAATAAAATAGGACCGGTGTACACAGTGAGCAATGGAATCTCAAGTCGCATTCAAATAAATGCGGGCCACACACCTCACAAAAAATATTGTTGTAGTCCCATTTGAGTCTTCCTTACCAAAGTTTTCCCCATCACCATTTATTCAAAAGGTCACACCCCTTGTTTTTAAATAGTATTTGTGGCTCGTTTTAAATCACGAAACAATACGATTTTGAAAGTGAACACGCCAGTGCTTTAAAAGGTGAAGCCCTTCAAATTATTGCTCATGCCGCTGCTGGTGAAAGGGCCTCCATGGGAGTAATCTTTAGACGGTATTTGGCCCACTCTGACCCACACTGATCACGTCTTGTAAGAGGTGAGAGTACTCACACTTTTCCCCATCGCCACCACCACCATATGGGATCTGCTGATCAAACTGTGGTGAAACCATTCATACTCGTGGTTGGAGACATTGTTTCACCTGCCATCCCCCGGTGAGACGGAACCGGCCAACTCTAGAGAATGCAATCACGTGTGTCGGCCAGCACAGTGGCACTACAATGGTAGAAAGGTCATCAAACACACACACAATACTGCATCGCATGATAATTATACAGAAAGCCTCGGAGGCTTTTATTTCTTCATATTATTTGTACGGGAACGGAAAACGGAAGTGCCCAGAATATGTGAAGCATTTAAGAGTGGAGGACGTTCAAAATTTCACACAGATTGCCCGTCAGAAACCGTATTGACAAAAGGGGCGACCGATCGTAGCATGAATATTTTTAAAACAATGGTTTCATAACAGAGTGGGCAACTATTGTTGTTAAACCACCACATCACCGGTAAAAAATACGTCTCTGTACACTGCACTGCTCGACTTTGAAATTATCTCCAATCATCGTCTCTCATCCAAGTTATCGTAGCCTTGTTCAAGTCAAGAAACGTGTTACACTCTTATCGAATATAACTTTGATCGTGCTGGATCATTTCTATTTGGGGGGGGGGGGGGGGGGGAGGGGGCTTTGGGGCTGTGCTGAGCCACCGTGATTAAAGAAAAAACACTTACCCCGTAAATCTTTTACACGTCTTCGAAGAATAGAGCAATCCATGTTTTTTTTGTTTCCTCCATGTGTTAAAACGATTGGGAAACACTTTGCACTTTGAGCTATTAAATACATAAAAAATAGATGATGCATAACATACAGCTCAATATTTACTAAAGTTAATAAAGCACTGCAGCTGCAAATAAAACCCTCCCTGAGCAGGACATTGCAAGGTTAATACATCTATCTACCGCGTGCTTTTCTCATTTATTCTCTTCCAAATTAAATTAAACTTTCGCTTGATCGATACCCCGTTTCGCTTGCACAAAGTTTAAATCGCACGGCTTAAAAATACATGTCCAAATTCATGGGATTTCCCTCATTTTACTGCCAAGGTCGATTATAAATTTGGATCACATCCGTGGTTCTGCATGCTTTCCCCTCGTGTTGAATGCACAGAAGCCAGCCCAGACTTGGGGCTTTCAAAATATATCATATGCCACGCTGGAACATGTATGTATGTTGAACTTCTTTCCTACCGTACGTAGCCAACCGTGCTAATGCGAGGTGCAGGGGGCGTGCAAGGACAAACTAAGCACAAAAAGCAGTTATAAAGAAATGAGTTTTTAACTGAGATTTAAAAGTGTATAGCTCGTAATGGCTTTCCTAATATCGGAAGGAAGAGCGTTCCAGACGGCCGCAGAAGCGCATCTGACAGCGTGCGATGCGGTGACCGTCATTGTTCGATGGCTAGCCAGAAGCCACCACTGCGAGGATGACCACCGGAGTTGGCGTGATGGTTTCAGCTCCTTGACGAGATCAGCTCGGTATTGTGGTTCATTTGTGGCAAGCACTTTGTGTGTAATGAGTTCGACCTCAGAATGTATTCGTTCGGCAACCGGAAGCCAATAATTAACCTCCTCCTCGGGATGGATTTTGGATTTTGTTTTTAAAACTTAGAATGTTAGATGTTTCTAAATTTAAAGGGAAATTGCAGGTTCTCTTTCAGATGATTTAAATGATGTAATAACAGGACGTATCTTTGTGCTAACGAAAGTGACATCACACGATGTCACGCGAAGACCACTTTTGGTGGCAAAAATCATGGGAATGACATGACATGTGACATCATATCATACCTTTTGACCAAATGTGAAACAAAAAAATGGTTTTAGGATCATCCAAAAATATGATAGCTAGGACTAATTTTCAGATATTTCAAATTTGTCCAAAAATCGGGAACACATCCTTACAACCGGCATAATTAAAGAAGAACAGACGTGATAATCGTATTAATATACCCACTGTATCCCGTGAAAATTATTTTAGGAAGGAACTTACATTCGTATTCATCAATTAATAGGAAAACGGATAGAACAAGTGACGTTATTGAGATGTGGGCATGGAGCACACCAGCGCAAAATAGATCACTTTAAAGCCTTATTCAACTCCAGTTCACTCAACAAAAGCTTAATCACTGCGACTTTACAATCTACAATGCGTATGATGCAAACGCTGTTAGCTACACAATATTTTAACTAATAAAAAGAGCTAGGAAATGTTGATGTATAATCCGAGCTCATTTAATTGACAATAGCCAATTAGAAACTTGAAGATTGTGTTTGTCATTTCATAATTATTTTACCAGTAAATGTAATATATGTTTGTTTTTATTAGCAACGATAAATCACAATGACAACATGAGCCAAAACGGATAATAGCACGATTGTGGATGTTTTTATCGTAACACGATATATAAAATCGTAGTATCGCCATCGCGTGTCATACCTAGTTGGGGACGGAGTGGAGCAACCAGAGAATCTCCACGCTTAGGTGAGAGCACCCAAAGATCCGCACAACTGGGAGTCACAAACCCATTTACCGCGTCGCCATCGGCTGCCCATCTTAATCAGAATCACTATTTATACTGGAGGAATCCGATGAGCTATAAAGCTCTTTTTCACAGATGTCCTGCGCAGCAAGTCAAGCACAGGACCCACCCAACCTTGCCCGCAGAGTGCTCGATTACCGCTGTACACCGCCATACCCCTTATTAAAACATTTATTGGAAAGAAGTAGGGGGAAAAAAACCTGTTTCCCTGCAGACCAATTATTGGCTTAGTAGCTCAGCCCATCTAGACAAATGTATTTGAAAGGCGCGTCAAAATTAACCAGTAGCTTACCCACCCCACCTCGCCCCCCCCCCCCCCCCCCCCCCCACCGTCAATCTTTACCATTTAAATTCTTAACCCACGTGCATCTCAGCTGATTACTTTCCAATTATGGACTCCTTTAAACAAAAAAAAGAAGAGCACGCACGACAGGGCATTCTGACACTGGCGTAATTCAGACACTTCTTAATTCCATCGCTGCCTTCATATTCAATTACCTTCCGTGGGGGGAGCTGCGAGTGCAGAGGGAGGACCGCGGGTAGAGGGCACGGTTCCCGTGTCCGTAATCGAAGCGGACAGGCGACGGTGGCTTTCCCTACCTCCGTGCCCGTGAATCGCACCCGAAATTCCCGTCGTGTTCTTCCCCTCGTTAGCGGTGAAGGATCGTGTGTGGTTCTTTACCTTTTTTGCTTCATCAGCGACCTCACATGAGCACCTGTCGGCGCGCAAAGTGCAATGCGAGGTTGCGGGAAATAGAATCGCCGACGGGCACAACGCGCGCCTCACGCGTACACACGGAGGTGGGCACTCGCGCGCGTGCGCGTGTGTGCCTGTGTATGTGCTCACAACAACGAGCGGAGCGCCGGGTGGATAAAACACAGCAAGTTGGCACGGTAGGGGGCACAGGTGGTGCATCGTCTCAGTCATCTCAGTGAGTCGACCCCTGGCGCCTGCTGGGTCTCCCCCGTGACCTCCTCCTGCCAGCGGGCAGTTCACGTGGCCTCAACGTGCACGTAGCCTGGCACAGGCGCCGTGGTGACGTCACCGCCACTTAGTGGCGAATGGCGGTTGTTGTTGTTAAATGGGGTGCGGTAGCGTAGCGATTAGCGCGCTGTGCTATGAACCCAGCGACCCGAGTTTGATTCCCCATCTCGCAGCCAACACCGGTGACGATTGTCTGAACCGGTCCTGGGCCTTCCCTAGGTCGACTCGGCCTCAAATGAGTAACCTCTGTGTGTAAACATCGTCCACTGGAGAGACAAAGGCGGCCGGGCGTGGTGCTGGCCACCCACCCCCTCGTGTGCCGTGCCGACCTTCATTGGCGCTCGCTAACAGCACTTGCCCCTACAGTCTGTTAACGCTATACGGGGGGGGGGGGGGTCTTTGTCTTTGTACCGGCATAAGAGTCAATGTTAAAATGTCTCTGCTCAAACGGCATTGGTGGATTTTAATTTGTCAGTGGCCCTGCGCCAGCGGTGGAATTCCAAATGTACCACGGCAGGGGCTAGTCCAGGGGTCGGCAACGAAAAAACACCAAGAGACTTTTTCTTTCGGTCAAAAAAACTCCTCTAGATTTCAAGGAGCCGCAATGCACTGTGTGGTGAATACGAGACGGTGGTGCTGAATAAATAACGTCACGCAAACAGTTCCTGAAAGAGACTCCATGCGGTACCGGAGCAGCAGGCTGCCGACCCCTGAGATAGTCTTTCGATCGCTTCACCATTCAGTGACTTTCTGTTAAAAGTGAAATTCACTTCGTTGGCTACGGAGGGGGCGATGTGCATCGTCAAGTCTCGAATGGGGTTTGAAAACTTGCGCACGTGTTTCGCAGTTTTTTTTTGAGTCTCCGATCTGTCTTCGGGTCGTACCGGTTGCTGTTCGGCGCGATGGCCGACGTTTCGCTCCACGTGTCGCTGGAAGGTGGCTCTTCCCCCTCCCCCCCTGCACATGAAGCGACACGTGGTCGCATCGCGCCGGACAAACACGCCCGTACGACCCGGAAAACACCGGGAGGGGATTTGAACGTCCTTACTTTGACGGTGCAACTGGTTGCTTGTCAACAGCGCTGCCTGGGTGCGTAATCATAAATGTTGTGAAAAATATATATTAATAACACATTCCGCACGATCAGAAGGACGGCTTTGCGGCCGATGCAGGTTTCCACCACCACTAAACAATCCACTTCCGTTTGCCAGATCCCTGCAAGCGGTTGCAGTCAACACACGAGCATCAAGATCTGTATTAACATGTCTCCTGCTTGGCCAACAACCGCCTGCATGCCACTGCAATGCCGTCTCCCTCACTCGTTTCTCCTCCTCAGTCCTGCCACATGCATCCCGACCGATCGCAAATCGATCGCAAACTCTCCGTACAGCCTGCGGAAGATGTTCCTTGGTTCGTGCCGCGCAAGCTCTGGTCAGAAACAATTTAGAAGCTCCTACGACCACGTGCAGGGGAAATTTCAAGACGACACAATGCCTAAACAAGACTCGGTACAACCCGAAAAACACATCAGGCAGCGTCATCCTTCGATGTGTACATACACGTGATACATATATACACGGGTGTACGTTTAAATCCCAGAGACCTTAGCGACAAATGGGCATTGTTCCTCGTTAAACAAACATCACCGCAGACACTCGGATGGCATGTCATAAAGTCACATTCTTTGCCGTTTGTGCGCGCAAATAGATAGCGTCTCTACAAAAAGCCATAATCAACCAGTAAACGGTAGCAATGGACCCACAGCGACCCTGTAATCACGAGGCCCTAGTGCGCACCGACCTGCAATATTAGCATCCTTAAAACTGGCAACAATTGTTCTGCTCACTTAGCAGAGCGCGTAATCGCGCTGCGTTTGTGTATTCCGACTGTGCGACAATCTGAACGCCGTTAAAAGGTTAGCGCGGTTATGATATCCACAAAAACAAATTGGACTATATATTCTTAATTGGAGGGATGATCGCCTGCTCACGCCACTGCTGGCAGAAGGGTCTCCCAATAGAGGGAGTTTTATAAAGTCCCTCTGGAGGGTATTTGGCCTACTCTTCCTTGCGAGAGATATAACA